CTGGGGACTTCAGCACCTAGGGGCTCAGGTGGAACCTGAGCTGCAGCTTTTAAAATGTCAGTGGCACCACCAGGGTGGATGTAGGAGCCTATCTGCCAGTTTAGGCACCTAAATCCCTTTAAAAATCTGACCCGGCTTTTTCACAACGTAACAGAGTAAGTCCCATCCACACAGGCTAAAAATGGATTGTGGTGTAAGATGGTAAGGGTGTGACAGAATAAAATGTATATTATTTACTGATTACTTCACACTTTAAAAATGCAACGCTGTGCCCTAAAACATAGCTGCTAGTGTCTCAGCCTGCCAGTTGTCATTTTGCATGATACCACCATTACATGATGTAATTCTGAGTGACAGCCATGGCACATAGTCTTAAAGAATGTAATGCATTGTGGGTGTGATAAATACACAGACTCATGCTACAGTCAGAACACTGTCAGTGAGAGAAGCAGTGAACCAAAATGGCTAGGGGAGTTTGCACTTAACTAGTCTCTGGAGTTCTATGAGAAATAAGTTTTGCTGATGCTTTTACTCTTCCATTTCCATCCATGCTCAGTGCAAAAGCCAGGAACTATGTATGTACTGTAGTTAAATATAGGTTAGGCTATTATTCTGTGCCTATGTCTATTTATTTGTGTCCAAACAAGAAAAAATAGCCAGTGCTGGAATCTAAATCCTCCTCATCACTTGGAAGCCATGACAGAATTACCGTACCTCTTTTTTTTTTTTATGGATGGTTAAATAGAGGCACAAAATTAACACATTACATCACCTAAATCAGTAACTAGAGACTGGAGTAGAATCTAGGAGTCTCTATTCCACCTAGTCCTTTACTCTAACCATTTTACCACATGGCTGCAGAAAATATATACACCTCTACCCCGATATAATGTGGTCTTCAGGAGCCAAAAATCTTACCATGTTATCGGTGAAACCGCGTTATATCGGGGTAGCAGCAGCAGGGCTCCAGCGGTGATTTAAAGAGCCCGGGGCTCCCCGCAGCGGCCAGAGCTCCTAGCCCTTTAAAGTGCCACCAGAGCCCCGCTGCTGGAGCTCTGGGGTAGCGGGGGCAGGGCTCCGGCGGTGATTTAAAGGGCCCGGGGCTCCCCGCAGCGGCCAGAGCTCCAAGCCCTTTAAATCACCACTGGAGCCCTGCCCCCGCTACCCCAGGGCTTCGGCAGCGGGGCTCGGGCGACAATTTAAAGGGCCCAGGGCTCCCCGCAGCAGTTGGCGCCCCGGGCCCTTTAAAACGCCACCCGAGCCTCGCTGCCGGAGCCCCGGAGTTACCACGTTGTATGCGAATCTGTGTTATATCGGGTCTATCTATCTAGGTGTATCTCAGTATGACCATGCCATTTTGCGTGAGAAATTCACTCCTGTTGTGGATTGTAACTGGGGATCTTCCTACACACTTTCATCTGAAGTAAAGCCAGTTATGAACATTGATATTCTCTCTCAGGTCTCTTGCCACTAGACAGTGAGACGCTTTCATACTTCAGCCCCAAATGTAACAAAATATTTAACCCCAGGACCACAAACCAAAGCTGTTCCAGTGCGGATCATATACTTAGTAAACAACAGGTGATGTAGCAAATGTATATATTCTGCATTGGATTTCTCACAAAGGAGTTAGCAAACACACCCCTTCCCCCAGCCTCCACTCCCTCCCAAACAGATTATCTCATAATTTTTTTCAGAGTGAAGTCTATTTATTTGTAAGCATATAGTTTACATTACACTCTTATTCCTTCTAGGGGCCAGATGGCTGGCCCTTACATGCGTGCCCAAGGAGAGCGGGGAGGGTGCAATTAGCTTCTAACTCAAATGTCTCCCACCATGTAGGGGCCTGCTGTAATTGTGATACCTGTGGTATCCCTCAACCAAGAGGTAGAAGAGTAAACTATTCTCATATGTGCCCAAAGCATTTAAAAATCAGAAGTCAGACCCCCCAAAAAATCATAAGATTTTTTTAAAATGTGCTTTTTGGCATGTCTTCTGATTTTTGAACTCCCCCGGCCCACCTGCAATGCATGTGTGACACACACAGTATGTCTGTACAGCGAGTTGGGGGTGTGACTTTTCAGCTCAAGGAGACACCAGAGCTAACTCAGATTGAGCAAGTGTGCAAAACATACAGTGTGGATGTGGCGGGACAGGCTAGCCGCTCCAAGTACATGCCTAATGCCTTGGACAGGTCTGTACGTGTTGGCTAGTCACTCACGCTGCCATGGCTACACTCTATTTTTAGTGTATTTGCTCAATCAGAGCTAGCATGTGTATGTCTCCTTAAACTGAGAATTACAGCCCCATGTCGAAGTGTAGACATAACCATAGTAAGGGAGAGTCCCTGCCATGAAGAGCTTACAAGCTAGGGCAAAGCATGGTGAAGTTTGGGAAGTGGGAGCCGAAATGGGGACTCACCAAAGTCAGATACAAAAGGCTATCAGACTCCCATTAGATAGGGACACTTTTAACCTCTGGTGATCTGGGCAGAATTCAAACAGGTGACCTACAGGTGACATGCTCTCTAGCTCATTACCAATGTACTGAAGCATCCAGTCCCCCATAAGTGCTAATATTACACCTTTGAGAATGCAACTTGCTTTTTGGAAAGATAAATTTATGAAATCCAGGTCTGATTTATTAACCTAGGCTGGGTCACCCACTCTTTGGCACAATCTCCAACACGTATTCAGTTTGCCACACCCAGATCTTACAGGGAGAGCACCCATTAATCAAGTACAAATAATTTAAAAAGCAACAGTCCAACTATTAACACAAGATCCAAATTCACCTTTAAATACATTTTGCAATATAAAGTCATCCCAACAATTATTCCAGCATCCTTGCATTAATTTGCATATTTTTCTACCCCCACGAGGCTCATCAACAGGGCTTGACCCCAGAATTTTCCACAGCACAAACTTTTTCTTCTTCAGGTATAGGAGCAACTGGTGTGGGATAAACATGCTATTATCCTCTATGTGGAGCAGCCCATACAGGGAGCCACAACACACATGTTGCCAATGAGTTCTACTAGTATTTGTGAGACTGCAGTGACAGGCTGGGTATCAGGAGCCTTGGATTCTGGGAGCTGATTGTGGTGTATGGGATACAGACAACATAGCTAAATGTAACAATGTCCCTTGTTGGATCATCTGTAGGGAGTGAAGCCAAGACCTCTTGATGTAAAAAAATGAGCCTCTATCTCTTCAGCTATAGAACCAGTTCTCTTAGCCCAGAAATATTAGAAGAGTTGTACATTTCTCTGTGTGCTCTAGCTGCGAGAGAGGGACATAGAGCCACACCGTACTGGTGTCAATTGCACAAGCCCCTAATTTGACATGTTTCTTCTGAAAGACTGTGTAGCACGGTAGTTGAGATTGGACTCAGTTATATTAGAGCCATGGATTCCAGTTCCAGCTATGCTTTGTGCAAGCTCTCAGTTATCTTTCCTTCCTTAGAGGCTTTTAAGGTCAGGCTTGACAAAGCCCTTGACTGGGATGATTTAGTTAGGAATTGGTCCTGCTTTGAGCAGGGGGTTGGACTAGATGACTCCTGAGGTCCCTTCCAACCCTGATATTCTATGATTCTATGATTCTATGATCTTATCTGTGAATATGATGAATAATAATTACCTCCAAGGTATGAAACCTTGGCTCAACATAAGAGCTGCGAAGGGCACAGAAATATCAACAGCAGTTCATTTCCAGTCAGTGGAAGAGCTGAGAGTAGCACACATGGCTTTGCTGTTTAGTGTGGCTTCTATGACGCTATAGGGCACCATGGGGGTATTGCTCACTGCTTCTAAAAATCACATGAAGGCTGCAGCCTTTTGCATCATCACAAGATGTCTTGCAGTAGGGGCCAAATCGCATTACCTGCAGCAAATTCATGAGGGTAGGCCACGCTGTAGTCTGGCTTAACTATAACAGAGTCATAGTGTCCCTGAAGTGTTCCTAACCTCTGTTTGCCAGATGCTGGGAATGGGCGACATGGGATGGACCATTTGAGGATTACCTGTTCTGTTCATTCCCTCTGAAGCACCTGGCTCTGGCCACTGTCGGAAGACGGGATACTGGGCTAGATGGACCCAGTATGGCCGTTCCTATGTTCATAGTGGACAGTTGCTGGCATCTATGGGCTACCGATGTTTTCACCTAAATTTCTTCATAGTTAACTGTTTAATTATTTGGACTGCCACTGCGGGTACTTCTACACTGCCCATGGATCTTTGGTTGCAGCGTGGACTGGCATGCCCACACTAACTTTAACCTAGCTAGCGTGGCTAAAAATATCAGTGAAGAAGTGGTGGAAAAGGTTCCACAGGGCTCCTGGGTACATACTCATGTTGCTAGCTCGCACTGAAGCCTGTGTAACTGTGTCTTCACTGTTATTATTGTTCAAACTAGCTAGATTAAAGCTAGCACAGGTATGTTTACACAAGCTGCAATTGCACTACCGATTGCAGTGTAGACATACTCTGAGACGGCTGCGCTGCTTACTGAAACAAAAATATACATAGCACCTGGTTGCTGACTTAATTATTAAAATATATGCTTTTGGTTGGAGAGAACTTTTATAAGAAGACTAAACCAATAAAGATATAGTGGACCTTTATAACTATGGAATTAAGTTGTGTGAAAAAACAAGATGCTCTCCATGTGGATGTAAGGGCACAGAAAAGAACTATATGATGCTATATCATATATCATATTATTTGAGAATGTGCGTTCATGAATTAGGCTGTATCATATTACATATGCACAAAGGAGCACAGCAAAGGATCTGCGTGCAACCTGACATTTTCTGGTTTTTTGAGTGCCTAACCATGCAAACTCAATAATCACGTAATGGATGCTTTTTTATAGCATATATATACAGATGTGTATATTTATATTTGTCTGCTTTATGTATCTTAGAATTTTGATTATTGAAACAAATTTTGCCAGGGTGCCATGGGTTCAGATAATTGTGCATGCCCTTGTATGTTTTCATAGCTGGCAAATGGAAGGTGTCTGTCCTCACCAGTGATATACCATCTGCAGGAACCAGCTCACAGGTTTATATTACATTGTATGGGGATTACAGTAATTCAGGGCCTATCTTTCTGTATGGAGAAGCAGGGGAACTGTTTCAGAGGGGCAATGAAGACATCTTCACTGTAAGTAATAAACATTCAGTATATTTTCTTTATTGTCCATAGTGGCCTACCAGATTACATAAAATGTGTAAAGCTATGTGATAAAAGGGACAGTCAGTTTTTGTACAGTAGACCAGGAAACAAGTAATACTACTGTTAAATACAGAGCTAAACCTAATTGTTTTTCTTAAATGCTAATTAAGCTCAGTATATTTCATTAAGAAATATCAACTACTGTATATAGAACCAAATAACTAACTGCAAAGGATAGAGAAGCCAAACATTTGGGTTAATTTTTAAGATCTTAAAGTTGAAATGAAGTAGTAGGGCTTAGATGGGAGTTAGGTGCCTAAACACCTTTGAGGATTGGGACCTTAGTTTCTCTCTCCCTCAGTTCCCCATCTGTAAAATGGGAATAATGATATTTCCCTATCTTCCAGGGGTGATTAAAGACTGTGAGATGCTCAATTAGTACAGTAATGGGGGACCGTAGAAGTATCTATGATGGATATTTTAACACAAAACCATCTGCACAAAAACATAATAGACATGAACTCCGAGTGTGTCTAGGGGACCTGGAGGAAAAAGAAAATGGCAATAGTACAATAGCAGCCAAATTATTAACACAAAAGCAAATTTCATTCACTAGCGATGGCTCCAGATGTGGTGGTTGAGCTTCAGAATTGCTGGAAGATGCCTCCAACGATGCTCCAGGGAGCAGGTGGATTAGGGTTGTCTTACAACAAAAGCAAATACAGTTCCTCTTCCCTGTCTTTGTCCCTCCAGCCGCCATTTCTCTCCTGTATCTGAGTTTCGTCGTGTGAACAACCTTTTTATCGCCCTCTGGCCTAGTCTTGCCTTGGGCTCTCTCTTTTTGACTGGCATGCAAGAAGAGGGGAAGAGAAGGGAAGCCATGTATTTGTCCTTGTGTATCTCTGTGCAGGAATTTCTTTATTGTTTATTTCACAAAGTCCGGGGGACTTAGCATCCAAGGGTTTGCTTCACATACATCTCTGCAGTGTAAGTGAACTCAGAAGATGAGCTGTCCAGACTGCTGTGTTGGGAGAAAAGCAGTTCCAATGAGTGGACTAAATCATGAGAAAACTCATACCCCAGAGGATGAGAGATTCCTATTAGTAAGTTCCCAAAGCCCAAATGATGATCTCTCCATTGATAAGAGCATCCCGGTTCACACTTTGCTGCTTGACCGACTTGCATGCAGAGTTGGTGCACTGAGATCACTGAAGCCATATTTAGAGTTGGAAGCATGCACCCAGCACTCCCAAGAACTAATCTTCTTCCAAACACAGACTTATGAGATAATCAAAGTAGACCATTTTGTATCAAGAGACACTGTATTTTAAACACAACACAATGCCTGATTGTTACTGTTCTCCAGGAAAAAGTTTTTAAAATAGGAATGTAACATACGAGTGATACCTACTGAACTAATTGTTCTTTGGAATTTTTCTTTTAAGGAGCTAGATGCAATTTATCTATTTATTTCCTTTATAGATTGACATTGGAGATGTAGGAGAGCTCTATAAAATACGCATAGGACACAATAACTCTGGAGAATCCCCCTCTTGGCACTGTGAAGAGGTGAGAACCCTGAGCATGTGTTTTAAACAATCGTTGTGCCCGAACGAGCAAAATAGTAATAATAAAAAATCCTGGGAGAAGTATTTCAGTCAGACACTGATGCTTATTGCATCACTGAGAAACCTATTTATTGTGGGTTGTTCTTGTGAGGAGTTTATGGCAGCCCAAGAGCCATATTGCTAAGGTTTCCTTTTCAGTTTCTAAGGAGAAAGGATGTCCACTGAATATTTATGATCCTTCTAAATTACAAGTTATATACTGAGTATTTCCATGGTTTATACAAGGTGTGGTTTGTAGCATAGGTAGTATGCTAGTTCTCTTTCCAACCCTTACTGAGACAAGGTGTGGTCAGTGTGCCCCAGGAAATAGGACAGAGGTCTGGGTGTAAGGAGACCTGGTTTCTATTCCCAGCTTTGCCAATCACCTACTGTGTGACCTTAAGCAAATAATTTCACCTCTTTGTGTCTCAGTTTCCTCATCTATAAATTAAGGATAACAATACTTAACCTCCTTTAGCACTTTGAGAGCTACAGATGAAAAGAGCTTATCATTATAATTCATGTTTGAGGGCAGATTCAGACGTGGTACCAATGGTTGCAGTTCCATTGAAGTCAACCTAGTTATAATCTTGTGCACCAGGTCCATGTATGGGCAGCATTCTTTGACCACATTTTCCTAGTAACTGCATGCCTGGATGGAGAAGTTTTATAACTACTAGGTTGTCAGGGAGTCCAGATGGTTACTTAGCTTCTGCCCTAGGAACTATGGGACACCTCTTCTAGCTCAATAGCTGACAGACAGAGTCAAAGTGTTTCCCAACTCCTGTTGGCTTTTGGGCAGCCTGAAGTTTCCTATCTGCCAGAAGACCCTTTAAGGATTGTGGAAGGCAGGAGCTCATAATGGAGGAGAGCAGCCATTGCATGCCCCCCATCCAAACACTAGTAAAGGTTGGAGGGGCAGGCCACCAGCCCTTCTTAAACTATATTTAGGGGAGGGGGCTACTAGAAGAGGGGAGCAGCTGTCATCCAGGGAATGATTATTGATATATTTATTTATTATTTACTTATTATTTATTTGGGTCACATATAATCTAACCCACTAAATGAATCTGCAGATGTTGGCCCTCCAGCAGCCCCTATGAACAGACCCTGCAAGGTCCGCATTCTGTGTGGTGCATCTATTTAAATTGAGAAACTAAAGTCAGGCAAAAAAGGAACGAAAAGGAGCTTGGGCTTTTTCTTTCCTCCTCGCCTTGCCTCCACGTATGCAAGCTGGTAGAACTTAATTAAAATCAATGGCACTTCAGTGTACACGGTTGATTCTTGGCTCACAAAGTCTGTTTTTTGTCTACTTACCTGGGCTCATCTGAAATAAAAACAGCTGGATCAAGACCTGAAACCACAGCAGCTTTTAGGCAGCAGTCCATCAGCGAGGGCTCAATCATTCCATCCGCTCTGCAGCTTTGGAGGGAGGGGCTAAAGGAGCCGAATATCTTCTACAAAGACCCCCACATTTTGTGCAGTAGAGTTAACACAGTATGGTCCTTCACTGCTATGGAATCTGGGGAGAGGGGAACAACGCAGTAGTCTGGGGAGACAAACTGGTCAGCACTATCTCCTGGGAAATCCATACATTCTCCTCCAGATATGAAATCAAGAGACCACGTTGTATTACTTTTGTGCTACAAATGTGCAGTAATGAGCTACACTGCTGGGCAGCCCCACAGAAGTGCTAGCCCTCCATGCATAAACCCCTACATCTGTGGCTTTCCTTATGGATCTCCCGGCGTTAAGATGGTTTGAGGTCTATTCATGGCTACAAACACCTCTCTCAAGCATGGTGCTACCTCGCTCACGTGCATGAAGTGTTCCCCTCCCACATGTTTTTCCACAGGAGATAATGATAGGCTTTGGGTTTGCCAGTTTTCTTCAAGCAAGATTAGAGAGTTTGGTTCACCAACATTTGTGGTGAACCTCTTGCAGTTACTTCCTTTTAAACATAGTATTCCAGCCCTGAAAGAGTGGGCAGCAGTAAGACTTTCCAATAATTGGGATTCCCTTATATTACAATTAAAGGGACATGTCAGACTAAACGGTGTGAAGCAGCAGTTGGCTCAGCCCAGGAGAGTGAGGAGTGGGCAGAGGCGGCTTTATGTCACCTTCGCACCTCCTTAATCCTAGGTTGGCCAGGGGGATGCTGAGCTGCTCGTGCTACTCTGATATATGACACCCTTGGCCAGCTGCCTTTGGGAGGGTCTGCAGCTCAGAATAGTCAGAGCACAAAACATTGATTGTTTCCCTTCCACTCCTGGTGCCCCTTCCCTATTATGGCTCTATATTAGAGGCTGCATAGGAGAGTAGCATAGGACTGCCTATGACATTCCCGCACCACTTCTGCACTGGGGCTATCCCCCCGGGAGGCCTTCATGGCTCCCTTATGGCACCAGAGCTGCAAACGGGCCAGAGCAAGAGCCAGGATCTGGCCTTTCATCTTAATTCCAGATGTTGCAATAACATCTGCTAGCACAGAACCCTGCAGCTATGTGGAGCCCCACTGATGCTAGTAGGACTTGGCAGAGGCTGAGAGATCTGCCCCAGCAGAACCGACTTCAGGATTGGAATCTAAGTGACTTAAACAAATGATAATTGTCATTGCTATTATAGGTGCAATTGCAGAACCTTTACACAGGAGAACAGTTTTCTCTCCCTGCCCACCGATGGCTGGCGCAGGACCAGGATGATGGCGAAATCTGTCAGGAGCTTCCTGTTTTGCGACGGGGCCAGCCTGTTCTTCCAGGTAGGCGAAATAATGCATCAGGCAATTCAAGTCACGGACTGCCACCCGTAGAATTCAATTGATTGTTTTTTATCCATTACCTATTATTGTTTGACAGCTGCAGTGCTTTTCTCTGGTCTTTTCCCTTGTGAAGGCTGGGCATGCGCAGCTCCTAACCTGGAGGTGTAACAGGGAGGGGACCTGCAATGTCTTTGATCAAATGTCTTGAATTTCAAAAGTCCTTTAGACTTAGGGTCGTCTCATTGATGTTTTACAGATAAGGGCAGCCCTGTTTACTTTCCACCTGGAAACTCGAACAATGGTGAATAAACCTCACAAGGTTTTTTTGTTTGTTTTTTTACTTATAAAAAAGATCAGGAAACAAAAAAACATATATAACTATCATGATGCCATCATGTACAAACCACAAACACTACTCGGAATATCATGGGAATTGCAGTTTTGTAAATATGTCATGTATTTGACTAATATAATTGCTATTTTCTTTCCTTTTCTGTTACCTGTGGATGCTGCATAGACCACACTCGTACAGAGCTGTTTTCATGGGTGTGTGGAGCAAAGCTAAACAATACGTTAAAATGTTCTTAAATTTAAGTGGACCTGCTACTGACTCCAGACGTAGACTGGGGAAGTGGGAGATGGGTGACATGGAGGACCAGGAGTTCCAAAGGTGGCATGTTGAGGGGGGGAGGTGCACTGGGACAGACATGGACTGGGAATAGCTGACTGGATGGTATGGAGCTGTGCTATCTCTGTTATCTATGGCTGAGCTAAGGTGGGGGAGGAGGCAGAAGGACATGAAAAAGGCATATAGTGTGGGACCCTAACACAATAATATTTAAGCTTAATCATACCTGCCCTTGAGGTGAAAGAAAAGTCCTTTCTGTCCCTTTGCCCCCAACAATACAGCCACATAGCTGTCAGCCATAACCGGCTCAGGGAGTACTATGTAGAAAGGCTAGCCAGCATTAACCACAGTGCTCCAGGATCCTGAGCAGGCATGACCATGGTCCCACCCTCATACACTAGATGTTTGCTGCAGAGAAACACCAAAAGGCGTGGCTGGCTAAACCCATAAAATAGGTATGAAGTATCAAAGGGGTAGCCGTGTTAGTCTGTATCCACAAAAACAATGAGGAGTCCGGTGGCACCTTAAATACTAACAGATTTATTTGGGCATAAGCTTTTGTGGGTAAAAAACCCACTTCTTCAGATGCATGGAGTGAAAATTACAGATGCAGGCATAAATATACTGACACATGAAGAGAAGGGAGTTACCTTACAAGTGGAGAACCAGTGTTGACAGGGCCAATTTAATCAGGGTGGATGTGGTCCACTTCCAATAATTGATGAGGAGATGTCAATACCAAGAGAGGGAAAATTGCTTTTGTAGTGAGCCAGCTACTCCCAGTCCGTATTCAAGCCCAAATTAATGGTGTTAAATTTTCAAATGAATTGTAGCTCTGCAGTTTCTATTTGAAAATTGATGTGTAGGTGAATGAGCCACATCATCAGAGGCTCATTCACCCACACATCTACTAATGTGATATATGCCATCATGTGCCAGCAATGCCCCTCTGCCATGTACATTGGCCAAACTGGACAGTCTCTACGAAAAAGAATAAATGGACACAAATCAGACATCAAGAATGGTAACATACAAAAGCCAGTAGGAGAACACTTCAATCTCCCTGGACATTCTATAACAGATTTAAAAGTAGCCATACTTGAACAAAAAACTTCAAAAACAGACTTCAAACAAGATTGGGGGAATAGGGATTCCAAGTGACCCTGCCCTGAATTTTTGTGTAAATCACTTGGTGGTGGCAGCAAAACTGTCCAAGGACAAGGAAAGCAATTTGTGCCTTGAGGAAGTTTTTAACCTAACCTGGTAGAATATAAGATTAGGGGGTCTTTCATGTGGGTCCCCACATCTGTACCCCAGAGTTCAGAGTGTGTGTGGGAACTCTGACAATGATTCTGTTGTATTAGGAGTGTACAAACAGAAGGTCTCAACTCAGAAGAAGCAGCAAAGAGTCCTATGGCACCTTATAGACTAACAGATGTATTGGAGCATGAGCTTTCGTGGGTGAATACCCACTTCATTGGATGCATGTCATTCACCCACGAAAGCTCATGCTCCAATACATCTGTTAGTCTATCAGGTGCCACAGGACTCTTTGCTGCTTTTACAGATCCAGACTAACATGGCTACCCCTCTGATACTTGACACCAACTCAGAAGTGTTTACAATCTGCAAATGGCAAAAGAAGCTCGCGTCTTCCCAGTCAGAGGATTAGAGGGGTAGATGGCAGAATGTTCACATTCACATACACACACAGCTCATACCTGCGCACACACCCACAGTAGCATCTTCCCCTGGAAATGTGGCACTTCTTGGCCCTAGCAGGGATTGGAGCAATTATTGTCCTAATTTAAAATGCTCTCAACCATAGGCTGTCGACTGCCCAAAGTCCATAGAAAATGTCTTTGATCTAAAAATAAAACAAAGAAGGGAAGATGGCAGTGCCTAGAGAACAGAGTTAAGGTTGTTTTGGATGCCTGAACAATGTAATTCTATACTTTCAGCTGTTTTCTTTTCTTTTATATTTAATCTTAATTTTGAATTATCTGTTTTTTTAATGTCTCTGCCTTTTTTCTTCAGATTTATAGCTGCATAAATATAACCCATACATTACTATTCCCATTCTTAATCCCAGTATTTTGCCTGGGAGTTTTATTTTATGTCATATTACATATTTTGTATTAAACACCCAAAGGTGTTACAGTTTTCATTTATAGCCCTTCCCTTCCCTCCCAAACTTACAAAGTGATTAAAGAAGATTCCCCATCAAATGCAATAAAGGAATAATCTACTATTATTATTGCCCGAAGCACTGAAATATTAAAGCAGTGAAGCATTATTTGATGCTGTAAAGTGGAGACAATGGTGCTAGAATTTATTTTTTAACCAGTGCTTTTAAAAGGTTGATGGCTGCAGTCTGGAATATTTGTGGTCTGACTGCTTATGTTGAGGCTAATCTTGGATTTACTTTGTTTACTTTTCTGCTTTATAATGACTGTAAGTGGTGCTGTAGGACAAAAATATACTGTTGTGCATTTAGAGCTGATTTTCAATTTGCATTCGCCACTGGGAATACCAACCTGCGGTAAACAGCATGCACACAAAATCAAAACAAGTTTGTGTGTCATTTTACTTAATATTAAATGGAATTTTTTATGAATGAAAAGTACATGATAGCTGATCCTTGATACAGCTGTATTTGGACTGTATAGTCACTCTGCTTTACAACTGGATATTACTATAACTATGGTAGTGTTTGTAATGTAAAAAATCTGTCTTCTTTTACTGTCAGTGACTGTATATGAGGTGCATGTCACAACAGGAGAGCTGTGGAATGCCGGAACAGAAGCTGATGTCTATATTTCCATCCATGGGGAAGAAGGCGATACAGGCTCCAGACAGCTATTTAGGTCAAAGAATCCTAGGAAATTTCTAAAAGGACAAGTGAGTGACAAGAAGCATACTTCCCGATCCATTTGTCTGTCCTTTCTAGCTCTCTACCTTGTAAGATCTGAGGTTGCTACAGGCCAAGGTGGGACTTACACTAGCAAAGATCACTGGTAGACTGCAAAGTTCATAGAAAACCTGCACAATTAAGTCAAAATTATTTTTTAAACATTTGCATTGACATTTTGGGGAAAATTATAATCCATAATAATTATTGTCTAGGTAAAGTGCATACTGTTTTTTAAAATTTCTTAATTATTTAAATACTATATATGGAGAGAAGAAATAACTTCAGTAAAATACATATTTTACTATATTCTGATATTAAGTTATATTACAATTTGTGATTGTTTTGTTAACTAAATTTTGGGCTAGTTTCTGCTCTCCTCACTCTAGTAATTGCATTGATTTGAATAGGACTACATACATAAGCAAAGTGATCAGGATTAGTTCTTTAGTCATAATTGTTGGTCCTGGAAACCAGCTTTGCTTGTCTGCTTTGACATTATCATACATTATTTCATAGATCATATCGGGATGCTCATACTTCATAGAAGAGTTTCACAGGTTTTATACCGTAGGTTTTATGGGTCCCATTGGATGGGGAGTTCTTTTAGAGATTTAATTGCACTTTTCTTGGCTGGTTTGCAGACTGACCTCTTCCTACTTGAAGCTGTGCACCTTGGAAATTTGTACAAGATTGTTATAGGACACAATGGACTTGGATCAGGTGAGAAATCTCTACATATAGTAACTGAATACTGACCACAGCTTTCTGTGAAATTAGAGTAGGTATTTGTAAAATATTCATATGAAATAATGTGACCAAGGTATTTTATAGGGGGAGACAAAGGGTTCCAAGAATATCAGTCATTAAAATGAAAAGGTTACATTTTGGTACCATCACAAATTCCAAATAATCATCCTTAACCTCTATTATAGTCCAAATAATTGTATTAAAAAGTTACTTTTAAATAAAGGGTACTGCACATTATAGTTCTGTCATTCCCGTTTGAAAAATTGAATTTGTTTGTCTTTTCTGCACTTTGAATATTTCATTGTACAGTCTCTATTCTGTATGTCTTCTGGAGATGGTCTATCACTGTAAATGAAATTTATTAGCATCATTATTATTTAAATTGCAGTAGTGCCTGACAGTCCCAACCAGGGATTTGAGGGCCATTGTGCTAGGTACTGTACACACACAGTTAATGGAAATATGGGCTATGAACCAAATTGTCTATGAGCACAAGACTTGGATTTATTTGTCCCTGAATACCAAACACTGTAGCAGATCAATGCTAGACGGTCTGGGCCAGAGTGTCTAGTAGAGGTGTCAGTTTATTCTGTCTTGATATTTTAGATACAGGCAGTAATACAGTTAACCTCCCCGTCTCCCTTCCTTCCACTCATCCCTCCAATGTATACAAGACTGGGGGGAGGGATAGCTCAGTGGTTTGAGCATTGGCCTGCTAAACCCAGGGTTGGGAGTTCAATCCTTGAGGGGGTTACTTAGGGATCTGGGGCAAAATCTGTACTTGGTCATGCTAGTGAAGGCAGGGGGGTAGACTCAATGACCTTTCAGGGTCCCTTCCAGCTCTATGAGATAGGTATATCTCCATATATTGTCAGTAAGATATCACTCATTGCTAGATCATCCCACATTAATCCACTTGTGGAGGACATCCCAACCCCTCTCCATATGGAAGGGGAGAAGTGGCACTTCTGTCACAGTTTCTCTTGTTCATTAGCCTTGCACAGATGCCCCTGGATTGGAACACAGCAAGTAGAGAGCATGGTGACCTCTTGGGGGAGGAAGGGGTGGAGCAGGTTAGATGAGATGTCTCTTTCCACAGTACTATTCCCTCTTTACTCCCAGATTTTCACATGGAAATCCAGGAAAACCATGACTGGGAGCTGTGATATTTTGCTCTGGATCCCTTCTGTGGCTTCTTCTAAACTGCTGAGAAAGGACCCAGTTAATGATTACATAGTTGTTATTGAACCAGGCTGTCAAATGGAAGGGAGTAGCCTCCCAGCAATTCCTTTTCCTAAGGATAAATCCCTAAGAACCACAGAGTTAGAAGGGAAAATGGCTCAAGAAAAACCCTATGTGGGGAAAATCCTTGAGTTTTCCACTCCTCCAGACAACCTGCTATAGGTTTTTCAGTGGCAGTTTTTATTATGCAACCTCCTGTCTTAAGAGACCACACCATTATTATTTATTATTTATTTGTTTTATCTATTTGTATTACACTAATGCCTAGACACCCCAGACTGAATCATGCCCCCACGTGTTAAGCCCAGTACAGAAACATCGTGAGACATTCCCTGCCGTAGAGAGCTTGCAATCGAAGTAGACAAGTTGAACAAATGAGTGGGAGACAAAGGAAGTGTCTCCAGATCTATTGAATGCAGTCTTGCAGTCTTAATCCACTTTCATTGGAAGAGCCACTTCCTCTAAGCAATTGATTTTTTAAATTAATCATTTGGATGGTTGCTCATGGCAGGTTTCACTGTATCTTAAAAAAATCTCCATTTTCTCATGAACTCCATTCTCATCAACTCTTCCTCTGCAGTAGTGTCTCTCAGGCAGATGCCTGCTATCCTCTGACGTTTCTGCACATTATAACATGGCTCTCTGTCGTGGAGTTTTGCAATGATGAAACAGCCATGTGCCAAGATCAGTAGTGTCAAACAATCAATTTTCTTCATTCCGCTTTGAGCCAGTCAATATAATCCCTTAGAGTTGCTGTCAGTGTGGGCCTCTCAGATTGGTTAATGATTAAACTGTCAGCTTCCTGGACTTCTGAAATATTCCATGGAGTTACACTGTCTCTCACAATGCGTACTCATCAAGGGAATATTGCACCATTTAATGCCATAGACTTGCCAGGAATGGAGAGTACCTTTGCTGCCAATTAAGGTTTTAAAAAATTGAAGGCAGTGTTATTGCCAAATTGTATCCAAAATACAGATATGTTCAGCTTTATTGATAATTTGACCAAAATATTAAAGAATTAAGAAGACTAAGAAAATATCTTCTCAAATACATAAATTAAATGCTTTAAATGAGAGGGATAAGGGGCCGTGCTAGCCTGCAACAGTCCACTTTTAACACCTCTGGTGCTTCTAGCATATGTGACTATAAACGGAGAGTTTTTAAAGTGAATCTTTCTTTCCTTACAATAGCTTGTACTGTGATGAGGAGGTCTGTCCCCCTAAGGGTAGTGGTGCCTGGGGTCAGCCTACCTCCATCATGTGGAATGGCCCTTTAAGATTTTGGGAGGTCTGGTATGCAAGGACCTAGGAGATATTGGTCAAGAGGAAGTGGTCTTGGGTATAAGTCGTGTTTGAGAGGAAATCCTGTTACTGTTTCTTTAAGGGCCCAGGACCAGGAGTCTAGTAGGGCAGGTGGGGCAAAGGTCCACTTTCTTCCAGCCAACTGAGATGAGCTTTAGAAAGGGGAGCAGCTCCTTCTTAATAGCAGGAGAAGGCCTGCCTGCTGAACCCAAGGACTAACTGGGAAAAAGGGGCCAGCTGAAGGAGAAGCTGGCTAAGGACCTACAGGTCCTAAGTTACAAGCCCAGCTCCAAGAAGGAGAGCTGGCTGGGGGACTCCTCTCTTGAGGGAGTGACTCTTTGAACTACAACCCAGCTCCAAGAATGGGACTTGGGGTGATGGAGGGGGGAAGCTCCTGAACAGGGGCAAGAAAAACCTGCCAGGATGATTATATGGATCCAGAGAGCATCTGAACTTGAGTGACTAAAATGGTGAGTTACACTTTGTGGAAATAATTAATAAACCAGACCCCTCAGGAAGGGAGTATGTGCTTTGACCTAATCTGGTCTGGTAATTGCCTGCAAGAGTCTGAGTGGGAGCTATGAGCGGTACACGTGCAGGCTCACCAGGGGTTGCTCTGAAAGCATTCAACCCTGACAAGGACCCTAACGTAATGACAGGAAAACGATGAGCACTACTATATATCAGGGAGTGACTCCTTGCACGGTGCTAATGTTATATTCATTTGTGTTTAAAGTTACTGGGTGTGATTCTGATCTGACTTAAACTGGTTTGACATTGATATAGCTCTGTGAATTCAGTGGAGTTTGCCTTGATTTAAGCTGGTGTAATTTAAATCAGAATCTGGACAAATATATGAGTGTGTGTGTGCGTGCACACACACACACACACACACACACACACAGAGTGAATTTTCATTTTAGGATGTACTTTGTTTTTATTTTGTTCATAGGAAATGGATGGTTTCTGGAGAAGATTGTAGTCCAGGATCCTGTCACAGACCTGGATTATTCTTTTCCTTGTCACAGGTTGGTAATGTTTTCAAATGGGTTATGTTGTAATAACAACTAGTTGTTCATGACTTCTCCAGTCAGGGGTGATTTGTGAAGTGCTTGTCCCCCGAGAATTGAATTGAGATGCTCCAACTCCTTTTACATACTCTAACAAACAGTCATAAGATGGTAAAACGTCTGGTCACTTCAGACCTCTGATACATTTAACCATTGACTGAGCATTGAAACATTCTATATAAGGCGTCTCCACCCCACACCTGTTACAACATTCAGCAGCTGCTGGCTGGCACATCCCCTCATCTGATATTTTGGATCTGACATCAGCTGATCCACCTCTCCCTATATCCAAGGCAACACTTTTCAGTTGAGTGGGTTGCTCTCTCTCTAAGGGTAATTCTGCACCATTGACAATACCAATGGGAGCTTTGGTATTTACTTCAGTGGACTCAGGATCAGGCTTTAGGTTCTCATGATATGGCTATCACTGAGGTGTATCTGAGCGGCTGGTCCTTCCCCGTCCACCCCAAACCTGTCACTGAGCAGCAGCAGAACTTGAAGCAATCCCAATTTCCCTGCTGCTTCCCCTGTGGTCTCTTCTGTTCTGAATCTTCTACTCCTATGCTCATTTCTAATTTTATCTACTATCAATTAATTCACAAATAGCTTATGGAAAATGATATTAATAAAAATCAGTAGAAATATTAGGAATTAGTAAAGTCCAGTCACGTATGAATCCAGCTACAACTTGCCAATGGCACCTCAATTCTGTGTCCTTCTTTCACTTCTACAAGTGAATAAATAAGTGCCCAAGACAGCTTTGAGTGATTGATGTGCACCCTGAAATTGATTTATGTGTGCATGTGGGCTTTCTGCCCATCTGATAGAGCACCTCCTCTTAGCGTGACCTAATTTTGATTCAGTATTGTAGGTGAGATGAACTGCTACAGAGAGAGCTTGAAATACAATGCTAGTTTCATAAATAATTCAGAGACTGCTGAAATCTGTTTTGCACAGAAAAATCCTGTGTGTGGTTGAAGGGCTTGATACACCTCTCACTGACATCACTTTTACAATGGTTCATCTCCTTTGATTTTAACTGAGTTAGCTCTAATTTATGCAGTGTAAGTGAGAAGAGAATAAAGCCTTTTTTACTTTTAATGGCACAGTTTACACCTGTATGGGTTGGGGGTGGGGAGGATGGTGTTGCCTGCAAGAAATTTGCTTCATGAGAGACGATTTTAAGAGTCTGTATAGCTGGGCTTCCTGAAGAAGCCTTTTGGTGGCAGACTGTGTGGTCAGTGGATCTGCTATTACTGATCCCTAACATTGGATCACTAGTTGAGATCTCCAGGTAGTCAGGCTGGCTTGGGCCTTTAGGTCCTGATCAAGAAAAGCACTTAAGCACACGTATAGCTTTAAAAAAGTGAACAGTCCCACTGAAGTCAATGGAAACTCTCACCTGCTTAAAGTTTAGCACATGCTTAAGTGCTTTGGTGGTACAGGGCCTCAGTGCACAAAATATTAAAATGTAATGTGTAAACATTGTGACAAAAATATTGCTGGGTTTGAGATCAAAACAATATAATCAGAATGGGTTCTGTTTTTCTCCAAAGGTGGCTAGATCAAGGGGAAGAGGATGGTAAAATTGTAAGAGAACTAAATGTCACTGACACTACCACCTTCTCTGCAAGTAAGCATAAAACAATGCAGAAGAGAGTACCTTGTCACCGTGACTGTGTCAAAGAATGGCCAGGATACTGTGTAAACTGATCACATTCTCTCTATCTCTGCAGGGCAAGAGCTGGAACTCAAGAGAGAGGAAAACGTAAAGACTTTTTCTCTTTTCAAAAATTGATTTGACAGTATACAAAATCTGTTCTGGGGAAAATCAGGTCAATAGTTTTTCTGTATGTGACGTTTTCTTCCTGTATCTTCTCATAAGGGCTCTTTTCTTCCTTCTTTTAAAAATATAACTAGTGGGCTGCTGAAAGATGGAAGTTTCAGAAAGGCAACACTCTTCAGTTCTACAACAGGCTCACCCGTGGTTTCATACGCCTCAGTCCAGATGGCACAGTTGATGCACTTGGTGACAAGAAGGACAAATATGGTAAAATATTTGCCAGATGGGGATGTGTGGGTGAACAGCATGAGGAAGGAGGGCATCATCAGATCATTGCAGGTGTCATTAGATTCAAAATTAATTCTAACAGGAGCAGAGGATAGCAACCATGAATGTTCTTACTCTTGAATGCATTTAAAACTATTAATGGTAAAAGCCACTTGGTTTTGTTGTAAAAGAACATCTCACAATGGTGTCTCATTATTAAATAGAGTCTAGTTCTCACGTGCTGGTTTAGTGATCCAGAATGCAAACCTCCATGGTAAGGGTGGTAAAACCCTCTCAACAACTGGGGCAGATACTGTTCCAGCCACCAGCTCCAAATGCTTCCTCCTCTCTACCAGTATCACTTCCATCTTATCTGGGTGAGCTTCAACCAACTCACTCCCATTCAAGCCTCAGCTCTCTCTGGCAAGGAGAAAGTACTGTGTTACAAGGGTTTGAGAACGTTAGGTTAAAAGCATAATCTACATTATGGCGGTGCAACCCAAAGTGTCTCAGGTCTTTCCTGATTGGCCTCACCTATGCTCTGAATAGAAGGGGTGACAGAACAGAACTTTGAAGGACATATTTGAGAGAGCCTTCAAGGCAATGAGCAAATTCCCAGCAATTACCTGTGGAATGTCTCTGAGAAATTGGGGCAGAAAACACCCATATGAATAACTCCTCAAGTAATCTTCTCCATGCAGGACAGTCCACAGGTAGATCAATATAATCTGATAGGCATGGAATATGGGTTTCACTTTATTTTTGGAAAGATCCCTTTTTAGTTGTCATGGTTGCTCTTGGAGTGCAATTATTCAGTGACTCAGAATGTTGAATTAATCAAATCTCTAAGTATTGCCTTAAATTTCAGAGCATTCCAAATCCCTAAATGCAGTTACCCAGCATGAGCGTGTTCTGGAAATCCCACAGGGAGTTTCATTTTATGATTTATAAACTGTGACCTACTGGGTAAACCTCCAAACCAACCTCCTTACATGAATCAGGTCTCCTAGGCTGCACTGAGGCAATAAGCAAATCTGTTCAAATTTTAACACTATGGCTTTGACTGATGGATTATGTTTGATTCAATTCCACATGACACCACAGAGTTCATAATCATTTTGCATGCAGAATCCAAATTCACACTGCTGTCTGCTTCACTGTGGACTGCTGCATCTGCATACACTTTCCTTCATGTTTATATGTGGACTTCTGTATGGAAGTTTTTAAATACATAAACACATTAAATTTATAGCACTTTCTGTACATTTAATTTTACACATTAGAAGTAAAATCATCATGCATGTCATTTTCTAATTTTCAGTGAGTAGTATTTTCAGTCTCTGTGTAATTGTGCAGGTACCACAACTGCACACACAGTTATTGCAAATGGCCATGTAAATAGAGCACGCAGCTAGCACAATTGTGATGTCAAATGTAGGCACACATCTACATACACTTTTTGGCATGAAGAACACGTCTCTACCCCTCAAAATTTCCCTTGAACGTTTGTTTAGGTTAAACACATGCACATTACTTTACCAGGGCAGTGAGACTAGCTCTGTACAACGGAAGCTGATGTGAGACTTGTAGCTTAATTTTTCATCTTGGGGCACTGTTCCTTGTGCTCACAGTTAGGAATTAAGTTTCCAGAAAGAAACACCATCTACTTATCTTTCATAGTAAGCAGCTTTAGTGGAAGCTGCTTGGGCTGAAACTTTCCTGCCTTTCAAATGTTGGTGGGACTACAAGGAACAACTTATTAATAACTTTGGACCAGATCCTCAGCTGGTGTAGATTAGGTTCGCGCCAGTGCTTTTGATGGAGTAATTGCAATTTACATCAGTTGAGGATTTGGCTCAGGGATTATTAATTTTTCAGGATTTTTTATCCCTAACTGGAAGCACTAAGAGAAGTGCCATTGTGATTATTATTTTTTGAGCTATGGTTTGATTCTGGCATGTAGGAACACTGCCAACATGCAAGATGTCCCCATGTATGAGATAATTACCTTGAATTTAGTTGATCTAGTTAGAACAATAGTTTAAATAGGCATACGGTGCATGCAGCCTTGCTTCATTGAATGAATATACTTAATTTTTTAACTACTAAACAGCAGGTCGCAACAGCTCTATTTTATTATGAATAGAATACAATTATTCAATAGATAAAATCTCTGGGCCAGATTCTGCCATTCTGAGTAGTACCTTGCACTGCAAGCGGGCCCATCAGAGTGATAGAAAAGGCCTATGGGAGAGAAATGGCTCACAGTGTTATTACACTGGGGATGAGTTTGACTCACTGTATTTATTGCTATCAGTGGGAGCTACAGGCATTTAGGGAAAGTACTATGTTATTTATGTATCTATTTATAATGTGGTAGTGCCTGGAGGCCCCAGTTAGGGATCAAGGCTCTATTGTGGAAAGCACTGAACATTGTACTCTAAGAAGCACAACCCAGAACTCAGCCCAGGAGGGAGGGGATAAGGTGACTATCAGTCACCATAGCACCCTCCTGATCCAGGGCTGCTACAGGGACTGGAGAGACCCCAGGAATAACATGGTCCTGGAGTCTGTCTGAGTTATGGCAGCCTCTCTGGGGTGCCCTATGAGCCACAGTGATGCCTAGAATCTCTGTACTGCTGTGTGCTGCACCCTGCCCCAAACCCGCACCTCTTGCACCCAGGCCCACTCTGGCACGTCTCTATGCTGGGAATTGTCTTCCATATTGCCTGTGCTGGGGGAATCCTCCCTTTACATATACGGGGCTATGCTGCTCCAGCCCTTTTAGCAGGTGCACAGGTGCCAGAATTGGGGTGATAATCTCTCCCTAAGTATATGATGAGAGCTCTTCGCTGATAGCTCTCAAGCAGTGACTTTATGAGCTTCCCGAAATGAATTGGGAGGAGATCTGTTGATCAGAGTCCAATTTTTTCCTCCGTTCTAATTACTAATTTTTTTAATTCGGCCTCTTCTCTGTCAGATAATGTCTTTGCAAAATCATAAATCACTTGTTGGTATTAGATGTAAAAATGAGTTTGAATACATCTATGGCTTTACCTTTTTTCTCCCCCAAACTCTTTAGGTCTCTTTGACGTGACTGTCAAAAGAAATGCACATGTGTTTAAGAGTCATCAGATGCCACATATTGCCCTTGCTCTTGACAATGGCTATGTCACTGGAATGGTACGAAATTGCCTTATTGCTTTTAATTGTTTCATGGTTATTATCATTATTATTATTATTTATTAATTTATTAAATATAATGCAGATTTTGTTCTCTGTTCTAATAAGTATGGGGGGGGGGAGGGATAGCGTAGTGGTTTGAGTATTGACCTGCTAAACCCAGGGTTGTGAGTTCAGCCCTTGAGGGGGCCACTTAGGGATCTGGGGCAAAAATCAGTACTTGGTCCTGCTATTGAAGGCAGGGGGCTGGACTCAATGACCTTTCAGGGTCCCTTCCAGCTCTATGAGATAGGTATATCTCCATATAAGTAGCAGTTACTTCCAATCAGAGATGAGGCCAAGTTGCAAAACCGAAATCTGAAGTTTGAACTTGCCAAAGATCAGGAAAGTTTGGATTCTGCTTTGGTGCCCATCTATTTTTATTTTTACTCTTTCCTCTTGTATCTCACTTAGTATTTTTAATGGCTTATTGAGAAGGATTTGATTTATACAACCTGGAACATTATGAGCTGTGCTTCATTGTTTATACCAGCTAGTCAAATGTTGACAACATATCTGGCATGCCCTGGCATCTCCTTGGATAATTATCAGTGCCAAGTGCTAATTGTAAATATCCATTTATTTCCCTCTCACTTTTTGTAACTAACCTGCTTTTCAAGGCTTGTTGCAAGTTAATGTTCCAAGCCTAGCTTGATCCCCTGCTCACTCATCCTCTCCTCAAAGGTAGATTTTTGTCAACAGCAACAGATTAGTACTGGTTGTACTTGCTTGCTTGCGTGCATGTTTTTGTGACCGCAAGCTTCTTGGAAAGTCAAGCACATGAAACCTTATAAGTCCTTATAGGTGGGAACCAAAGAAACTGGATCCCATTTAGTCAACTTATGGGGCGGGTTCTTCCACAGCCCTGGTCAAATCAACCGGCAGATTAAGGGCCAGAAAATACAGCCTAGGCAACGTCAGTATGGAGGTGGGAAAGGAGAGACCTTGCTCCATCCCGTCGTCAATCTGCAAAGCTCTTGAGCTCTATGTTAGAGAGATTTTTAAGGAATGGAGCTCCTGAGCGCTGCAGGAGTGAGGCTCTTTCATCACATTTCCTGTGAAGCCCAGGAACCCTTTCCAAGGGAGTTTCTCCATCTTCCCCTGTAAACTCTTGAGATCTTCAGGAAATAGGCTTTCCTATTCTCCTCTTTGCCTCCCTCCTTTATCTAACTTCTTCACCAGTGGACTTTCTGCACTGGACAAGAGAAGGCCTCTGTCCCTTTTCTCTCTCTTTCTTCTCTCCCGTCTCCTGTAGAGATACTGAACTCAACAGGAAAGAGTCTTCCTCCTAGAAGCCAAGCCCAGCATCGCTCTGTCACAGCACTCTCAACATGTGATTAGGCAAGTGGAGCTGTGGAAGGTGGTTCCTTTAGATAGAACTGTGTTTTATTGAGGATGGAACCAACTGTGTTTTTCTTTCCCTTATTTAAGGAGTGAGTAACCTAGTGGTCAAAGCCTCCATTATATAATATGCATTGGCTTTAGTGGGAGAAGAGTTTACTCAGCACCTTGCAGAATTGGGCATCTATTTGGGAATGGCTTCAAACCACAGAATAAATGATGCAAACTCTTCTTGTTCCTGTTCCACACAGCAATGAACAGCTCTCTCTTGTTCTCAACATCATTACAACTAGGGGACTGGGTGAAAGGATTCCTTCCTTCTATTTCCACCTCTGTCACTGACTTTTTTTTTTTTTAATCTTGGACAAGCCACTTAAAGTCTCTGCCTAAATTTACCCATTCTAAATTGCATATAGTAATAAAACACCTCTTCATAAGGAAATTGTGAGGATTCATTAATTAATGATTAAAGCACTTTGTGATCCTTGGAAGAAAGGTGCTGTGTAGTTGTAAAACAGTACTGTAATATAGTAAACATTTGTATAGGTTTCAGATTTAATCAAAAGTCCTGTGGCTCTCTTGTTTCACAGTCTCGTCTAAAGTCCACCTGATGATTTATTTTATTCTCAAAAGCTTCAGTTAGAGGAGGTTGAAATGTTTTGAATGAAAAGGATTTTTTTTTTCATGCAAAAATGGCCTTTCTTGGAAACAAAAAGTTTCACAAACCATTTACTCTTTAAAATGTTTTTGCAAAAAGGTTTATCACCTTTTTATTTAATTTATTTTAAAAGTTATCAAAGCTGTTATTAAAATGGCTATTGACATTTTTCATTTTCTTAAACCTGAGTTTTCAGTAAATGAGAGATAACTTAATGTGTTAGATCAGGGGTCGGCAACCTTTCAGAAGTGGTGTGCCGAGTCTTCATTTATTCACTCTAAATTAAGGTTTCACGTGCCAGTAATACATTTTAACATTTTTAGACGGTCTCTTTCTATAAATCTATAATATATAACTAAACTATTGTTGTATGTAAAATAAATAAGGTTTTTAAAATGTTTAAGAAGCTTCATTTAAAATTAAATTAAAATGCAGAGCCCTCCGGACCGGTGGCCAGGACCCCAGCAGTGTGAGTGCCACTGAAAATCAGCTCGCGTGCCGTATTCAGCATGCATGCCATAGGTTGCCTACCCCTGTGTTAGATTAAAAAACGTAATGAATTTTTTGAAAAAGCAACAGTCCACTTTGAACCATGTGAAATGAAAACAGCTTTGAAATCTTGCAACTTTCCATTTTTGCCCAGCTCTGTTATAAATCCAATACAATGTGTATTTTTGTGTATAGTGTCTTTCATGCAAAAGGACCAGGAAATAATCCACAGCCCTTTACACTCTGACCAGACAAATACAAATAATGAGCCTGATTCAGCCATCTGGTTGGATCCCTGTGGGTTGCTGCCTTCCCTAGATGTTTATCCAGGGAGAGCAATATAAACCCTCATATGGGGGGCCACAGTGCTGCTGCTGGTGAAAGGTACCTGAGAGATATTCTGAGTGCATTTCCTGGGAGCCCTGACCTTGCACCCTCTTTTTTGACTCAGTCCGGTTTGTGGGCTGCACCAGGTGACCCCAGACCCCTGCAGTTAGAAGTCCGGGTATGTTAGTTGTTATACCTGCACTCAATGCAGAAGTTCTGCCTTTGGCGGTTCCTAGCTTGACTTTCTCTAGCAGAATCCAGGAAACAAATTGTACCCAATGAACATAATTATGAATAGATAACAGGCTTGTCTTATTTCAAGATTCTGTGCCCAGTTTCAGGCCTCTTAATTTTAGAATTTCAAGCTCAAAAACAAATTTGAGAATTTCCATATTAGGTTGATCTTCATGGTTAATAGCAATATGTTTATGGCACCATAAGGAATTAATAGAGGTGCAGAAATAGAGACCCCATGGCGTGACTTCTCTTTCATATTACTTATATCTAGTGGTTCATATAATTGATTATTCCCGCTTTTCTTGTGTTAGGACAATGAAGATACTCTCTGTGAGTTACAAGTTCATGTTCAGCCAAATCGCTGTGCAATTCTGGAATCAGCCCGGAGTCCAGGGCACATGATTACATTCAGTCTTCAAGGCAAAGTAGCGGATGATACAGTAGGCTATGCAGGACTCTCGAAAGAATTTGTTGTGCATGTGAAGGTAAGGTTGGGGGAGAGAGATGAAGGAAACTAAACTGCAAATAGTTTATTCTTGTAAAGCCCACTGTACTTGAACACATCCCAGCAAACTGAAAGTTGAAAGAGTGATCTCCTCCCACTAGGTGGAGCTAAAGACTGCAACAACAGCTTAACAGGGAGACATCATGATGTAAACTCTGGGGAAGTCACAGATAGTCAAAAAACTTCCAAAACATGGCTGTACACACAACAGAGCTGGATGGAAAATTGTTTGCATAGAAGGAGAGAACAGCTTGCTAGTCGAAAGAACGCTTATGTGACTTGTGACAAAAATGTACTTGAGTCACTTACCACCTTATACATAGAAATGCGCCTGTAGTGGTTTAAAAAACACAATTCACATCTTCTGCTTAATTGCTAGTGTAAAGGTACAACTACTGCCAGATGATGGAGTGTATCAAGGTGAAAAATCAAAGGGGGTGGAGGAAGCCACGTAATTTACAAATGGATATTTTTATCTATCGATTTGTAGGGTGTGTTCCACAATGGTGCCATAATTCTGCTCACCACAAGTCTCTACCAGGCTCTCTGCCTCAGGCCTGATGGGAGCTGCAGTGGAGCAGGAAAGCAATCTGAAGAATCCTATTGGAAAGTGCATAAAATCAGCTCTGGAGTTTGCATGATTGAAAGTCTGAAAAACCAAAGAATGTATCTGAGGATCAAGGATGGCAAGTGTAATGGAACAGTAAGCAGTTCTTGTTCATATTTGCCTTTTAAAATGTTTAAGTAACTTGCCAATGCCAGAGAGAAGGAATAAAATCTTTAAAGTCAGTAAAATAATCAAACTGCATTACCCTCTGTTGTCTAAAATAGAGACATTTACATCTCCCATCAGCCATAAAACTTGCAGAACTGGGAAACTCTGCTTTGAAGACAGTTTAGCCTTTGCCTAAACCTTTACATGAATCAGAACTCTCTGTATCATGCATGATATTTCCCTTATTCGGATCACTATAGCTTTATTTCTGATCACAAAGGAATAAACAGGTCCAAACCTGAGGCTATCTTTATAGGATGGAACAGTTAGACAACTTAGCAGTATGGTAAAAACTTAAAAAACAAACTGAATTGACACAAATATTCAAGTTTTTATTTTAAAGTTCTCCAACTGCATATCACATTCAATTGTTGAACTCACATTTATATATTTCATTTTTTTTAGGGGACGAGTGATGTATACTGTCACTTTAAAATTGAGAAGAACTTAGAAAGTGGATCTGTGAGTCTAGAATCTGTGCTAAACAGCGGGATGTATGTTGGTCTCCAACCAGATGGCCAGACCAAGCCAGTTGTTAACACTGGAGAGAGAAACATTTTGTTCTACCCACGAGTCATCAAATGTATGCAACTTTGAATACTAAACAAGCCACTGAGTATTTTACATATTTATAGCTACACATGTAAATATTTATGACCACAAAGTTTAAGTATAAAAATATAGAGACCAGACTTGAAAATTTGCTCTTGAATGTTTTAGTACTTTAAATGAGAAACATATCCTACTTGCAGCTAATGCCTCCCATATACATTGGTAATTTTTGTACCTCATTTTACCAACTCAGGCGTTAAAAGGAAAACTCTTGGTTTTTTGCTGAATAAATGAAACTTTGAATATGTGGATGAAAACAATGGTCATAACATCTGGTTATGACAGCTCCCTGATTCTCTGCCCAACTCTAGTCACTGGTTAGAGCAGCCTGGGGGCAGCTCTACCGTGTGTCAGCTGGCACCAGTTCCCAAGAAACTGTTCTCCAGCTGAATACAACTTGAGTGTGCTCCAGCCATACCCCCTCTCTAACTTCAATATGCCCCTCACTGCTGGAGACTGCAAGAAATATGGCATAGGAGCCAGGTAGGCTGGTTGTATAGCTGGAGTGGACTCTCTCACTCTGGAAATCCCCAAAGTGTGAGTGGAGTGGAGTGGAAAATCTGCTCCACTGTCAGTGGTTGCTAATTATGCAAACCTGAGAGCTTTGTTTTTATACATTTCTGTGTTGCTTTAATCATGGCATCAAAGCATCTCCATAAAGCCTAATGAATTAAGTATCACAACATCCTTGTGTGGTAGGGGAAATATTATTATCCCTGTTTCGGTTTCTACAGATGGGGAACTTCCACACAGAAAGTCTGTCAGGAGTTAGACCCCAGATCTCTGAGTACTCTGCCCTAACCACAAAGCTGTACTTCCTCACAAATATCTGCCCCCTTCATTGAACTGTAGCTTTAACACACACTGTAGTTGTCTGCAGGCCAGTTCAAAAGAAAATAAGCACTTCTGCTCAACAGTCAGAAAGTGTGAACAGTACAAAGCACGTCTCATCATGAGTAAACTATGGAATAGATTTGAAAACATACATCTCTGCGTTTCAGTTGGAATGTCTACTGGTAGTGGCGATCTTGCTAAATATTGATAACATTTCTGTGATGCTGACAATCTGGAGTAAATGCCCAGAAATAGTTGATCAGTTTTTATCTTTTTTAACTAATGTCCCCTTTTTTATGAGGCAAAGAGGGAAAAGTTTAAAATAGATACACTTTTTACATGGACATTAGGATAAATGGGAACATGAAACCAGTCTTCAGGAACTAAAAGACATTAATTTGGGATTACCTTTTAAAATTAATACACAACTGCTGTACCTTATGGGCTGCATTAGACACAGACACATTGAGTGGGGGGTATTGGACTAAGTGGCAGTGCTTGAAGTCATGCTTGTCTAGGTCCCAGTGCCACCAGAGTCATTGTCATTATTATTATTATGAGGGAAGGGTGTTATGGGTTAGAGGTAGTCCTTCCTACCTCTTTAAGAATGGTATAAAAAGAGTTAGGCTGTACTCCCCCAGAGCAGCCTACATAGTACTGTCCCGTGGCCAGATAATAAAGCCACACCCATCTAAACATTCCCTCACTGGGCCAATCTGTTCTAACCACCTTGGCAGCGGAGAGCCGTAAATTAGCTTTCTGAAGTCTCCTGAGCAGGTGTACGAGAGGGTAAATAGCTCCCTGTAATTTCTCCCCCTCTAGTGCTCCCACATGGGGACAGACATAATTCAGACTGTGAATTTTTGGAATTTCATCTACTGATTCTTTTCTGACGTTGAATCATCGGGTAGATAACAAGAGCTACTAAACCTCTTTTTTCCCCACAGAGAAAGCAGTTTAATAGATTGATTAAAACTTTCCATGGTTCACTCTCCCAACCCCATCTCATGCAGAACTCCCGTATCTTGGAAGACTATGGAGTTTTAATTGCAGAGACAACCTTGTCTTCATATGAAATTTATAATCCCATCTAGAAAATGGGAATAGTTTCATAGAATTAAAATGGCCTTTTTCTAAATTCACATATCTTATGCTTTAATGATTATTCCTTTATGATGGGATTTTCAAAGGAGCTGGGGCCTGGATCCTTAAAGGTATTTAATTACCTAACTCCCATTGATTTCAATGGAAGTTAGGAGCCTAAATAGCTTTGAGGATCTGGGCCCAAGTAATTTAAGTTCCCAATTCCTATTGAATTAGGCAATTAACTTCCTTAAAGTCCTTTGCAAATCCCAGCCTTCATGTTTCCCTAAAAAGACCAGTTCTTGGTTCTGATGTGGTAGTTTAATGGGGTGACACATTATCCAATTTTCGTCACACTCAGGGGTTGTCTATGCAGACACTGAGTTTGCGGCTGGCTGGGTTGTAAATCTACCTTGCACTAGCCTGCTACTCATGAAGTGTCCATGTGGACCCTACTGTCATGCACTAAAAGTTCCATAGAGTGCTTTGATGTACCCCATAATGAAATATATGAGCCAGTTGATAAAGATTTATACCATTCAGAGCCCTTTTTTATTTTCCATTTGGCTTGCAGCTGATAGTCACTTGGCCAGTACTTGGCAGAAACCGGTACGGTCACAGCTTTTTATATCTTGTGGATGTTAGTTCAAAGATATTTCAGATAAAAAATGAAAGAGACCATAAAAATGATGAATTGACCATCAAGCTTTGACTATAAGTTGGGAACCCCAGATACAAGCAGTATAAACTCATCAAGAATACCTCAATCAGCAGTCAGAGACTGTATTATAGCACACAGTTTATATTATTATTTAAACAATTCCAAAGGTACACAGAAGCATTACAATCAAAGTAATCATAACCGTGGCATCACTGGAAGTTCAGTGTGTGCACCGTGCATGTGGTTGGGGGTGAAGGAGCAGAATATTTGAGTAACTATATACCACACAGACGAGAGAGAATAATTTTTCCTCCTAAACCCATGAAGAAAAGGGTTTTCAATGGAAAGCCTTAACTAAAGCAATGCTAACTGGTACTGCTATAATAAAACTAATCGCTACTCCATTTTAGACTCAGGTATGAAAGTTGGTTCCTAAAATACCTTGCTTCTTAATAAAAGAAGATAAAAGGACCTAATGCTTTTTTCAGAGCAGCCAAGATTTGTCTCTTTGCTATTTCATAGTTCAGAAATGGCCACTGGCAGTTTTGTTTGAAAGAGATTTCAAGCAATGGCCCCCTTTAAGCAAGAAAACATCAGTGGAGGGACTTAACCTCAAGAAAACAGCATCTGAACGAGTCATTTGATTCATACATCAATGTTAAATTGTTGCTTAGAATCGCAAAGCGGTGAATGGATTTTATTGGCATGCCATCTTTTTTTCTTTTTTCTTTTTTTTATGCCTGCTGCTAGCAATAAAAACCAATTACTTACATCTATGCAATGCACAGAGAAAAGATTTTGGTATATCTTGTACGTTTGTCTGACAATTGTAAGGTTTATTACTTGTGTTTGCCATTGAATACATGGGTAGCTTCTAAATAGGAGAAGCAAATGATTTTTTGGTAGTGTCACACTTTACATTTTGTTATTTTAGTTGGCAGGGAAAAGCCTATGGGAACATCTGCGACACCCAGCCAACCAAAGGGAGGGATCAGAGAATCTGAACACCAACCGGCAAAAGCCCAGAAGCCAGTGGCTCAGAGCCCATCAGCTTCTTCACCTGCAAGTAAGGAATAGTTTTCAAAAATCTATACTGCAGTACTGTGATTCTGTGTCTTTGTGATGGCCTACCCTAGGGATGACACCAAATGGCTTTTCTAGACTGTTGCAATGTACAGTGTGGATATGAACTGCTCTTTAACAGACTTGTTATCTGAAAAAGCAGTGAAGTTTATCATATTGGTTAGCCAATAGTCAGCATATAACTGATTTGACTAATTTCACTATGCTGGTTTTGAATACATTATTATAATATAGCCCAGCTCTTTTCCCTACTAATATATAACTGTGCTAATACAATGTAGGGCCCAATACAAAAGCCCATTGAGGTCAATGGAAGTCTTTCCATTTACTCTAGTGGGCTTTGGATGAGACACTAACTACCTTTAAAAATGTTTGGATATGGCTGCATCATATTGTTGTGTATAATTACTGGGGGAAGGGAGTAAGGATTCTTGACCCAATACATACTGGCCTCAGTACTCTGCTGCACCCAATATCCACTGGGTGTGGATGAGGAGTCCCTGTGCCCAGGATTGACTGGGTGAGGAGTTGTTAATGCTGATCTGATCCATGTCTGCTTGTGGCCCTCAAGGAGCCATCAATCAACTGGGCATTGCCCAAGCCTTCACCAATTCTCTCCACCCAGTAACCTGCTACACTGGGAGTGGCATAAAGGGATTAAGATCATATTGTTTGGGGCAGGGTTGGTTCTCTAGTGTGTGTTGTATAGTGCCTAGCAGATTGTGGACACTACCATAATATAAACAATAACAGCGATTCACCAGTGATACCAGTTACAGTGAGAAGTGTTTGAAATGGAAAACTCGGGTATTTTGGAATCTCTCTTTTTATTTTTTTTTAAAGTTTCAGTATTTCACCCCCACCGCTTCAATTTAAACCATTGTTTTTTTAAGAGATTAATAATCAAAACAAAACAAAACACCACCTGTATTTCTAACTAAATGGAAATGTCTGCTCTTCAACCACAAAGATTGCAGTTTGATAGTAATTCTTGCCCTGGTCCTAGGATTGCTATGGAACGAAATAAAATAAATAAACTTGCAGCAGCCGAGAACTCAGTTTGCAGGAGTTTCATGTTCTCTTCAAAGTCTATAAAGATGTCTGATTTAGCAGGACAAGGTCACGCAGCCCACGTGGGAGCCTTCTCTGAAGGGAGAATCTTGTTCTTATCTCGGTGGTGCAAAGTTCCCCTATTCAAGAAAGGGGTCAGGCGGGTGGGGTGGAGTAGGGGAACAGACCTCTGCTTTGTATGGTCCACCTATATTTCAGATCCATGTGTGGGAGGTAGGTTGGGCCATGGGGGGGCAGGATGGAGAATCCACAGTTATGCAATTCTTCCATCCTTCCTCTACCTCTGTGGAGGGGACACGCTGGGGTTGTAGAGCCTCTAGTGATGTGCACTATTTTGCTGGACAGCTTCCCCCCACCCCCACCAGATAATAAATTGAGGATCCCTAATTGTCAAACTAGGGCCCTTAAATTGAGTTGCCCAATTCTGCTTTTGATTGACGTTGGTGGAATTTAGGTACCGTTTTGCCTATATAAACAAAATGCCAAATTTTAGCATGCTAATTTACAGGGGACGCAGAAACCGGGAGCAATATGTTTTATACCAGAGGAGACTTTAAATGCAGTGCAAGATTAGGATTGCACCAAACTCTCCTGGTTTAACTAAAATCAGTGCAGACTATTATTTCTAATTATTGCTAATTATTTGTGGATAGCACAGACATCTTTGTGGCAGCATCACTCCTGTTTTCATTTCAGAACACTTATTTCAGTTTCGGATCCCTTAGACTTCACCTGGTATTGCACTATTGTGTCGCACCAAAAGCCTTCTGCGTGTGTCATAGATTGTCAGAAAATGGTTCAGTATGTTGAATCTAAAATCTAGGGCAACAACACATACGCCATTAAACATATTTTCAACAAAGCAGAATGATTTTAGGGTTTGATGCCCAGGATCATTTTCCAGAGGAGATATTTACCCTAAAAATGGTTCAGGTAAAGTCTCTATAATACTTTGTAGGGAGTATTTATGAGCAGTAATAACTATGGGGTCCTTTTTGTGTCTATGCAAACTAAATGGAAATACAAAAGTTGACTGTGTCTTTCAAAGAAAATGTTTCTTTTATGAAGAATATTTTCCTATGAAGTATTTTAACAGGTGACTGGATTTTCACAGTTTTTTTTTCGGGGGGGGGGGGGGGGGGGAATCATTGAAGGTTGAAAGATTTTTAATCCACATTGACCTAACACACTGATTGTGTTTTTAAATCCCCAAGTTAGTATTCACAGAAGGGTGGCAATTGATTCTGTAAGTAGATGTTTAGTATACGTCCCCAGCTATACCCCTAACATTCACTGTTAGAACATCTACAGTAACTCTTTAAGTTGTTCAGACCATCTCTCTGACAATGCAAGTCTATGCCCAATTATATATTCATTGGTGGCCTCTGGACAGTAAAGTTTTCCCTGTGAGATCACAGGAATCCTGTGAGATCTCACAAGTGTGGGAATTGATGTGGGAATTTTGATCTTCATCATTCACCATTGTGTTTCTGAAATCATGTTAAAAATTCCTGTGGTGGAAACATAAATATGTGCAACAATGAAAGAGGGGGCTAAATGGCCACTATCAGAGACAGTGGCATAACTAGGAGTGGAAATTTGGGTGGCCCTCGACTTCCGACACTGTGCTAGCTCAGCTTCTCACCTGATGCTACAGCCTCTTCCCAGCCCTGGTGCCCCCAGACACAGGGCTTCACCTGCCGAGCTGAGCATGCGCATGGGTCGGCGCAGAAAACAGCAAGGCAGAGCTGCCAGAGCGTAGCTTTCTCAAGGGCGGGCGCGCAGCTCCAGCCTCAATTTCAGGTGCCCAAGTGATGCTCTGGGCCGCTGTGGCAGCACTACACCCCTGCTCAGATTTGGGTGGGCCTGGATGCTAAGTGGGTGGGCTGTGGCCCACCAGGTCCACCTGTGGCTACGCCCTTGATCAGAGAGCTGCATAACCAGCTGCAACCCCTGGCCAAGTGACTATCAGCTGCGCGCCAAATGGCTGAAAATCCCATAAAAACAGCATTTCTTATGACATTATTTATTATTTCTACAGTGCCATAACTTGGTTGGCACCTTACAGACAACTACTAATATACAACACAAGCAAGCAAACAAACAAAAAAGAAGCAGACATTGCTCGAAATAGCTTACAATCTCTGGGCCAAATTCAGCAGTCCTCTCTAGGGCGATACTCTGATTTATTTGCATAAGGATCCCAGAATTTGGCCTTTGGTTGTCTTAGGCCTTGGTTCTGTATCAAATTCCTTAGGCATCGGTGGGACTCCCCACAGGTGCAAGGGTCTGTATTAGTGGATCCCAATGCAGAGTCAGGTCTTTAGTTACCTGAATCATTTGGTTTAAATGTGAGATTTAATGTGTTAAAGGAAAACCCTTTTCTTTATATATTTCAGAAGTTAAATATATTTTGGATCCAACTAGATCATACATTTGATAAAATTGACTATATAACTTTCCTTGATTACCACTGCTTTTCATAAAACAGCTACCAATACAATAAAAGTGATATCTGAGGAACTTACTAAGAAAAATCAGGACTGTGTTAAATTGATCCATCTTCTTTTTAGTTACCCACTTTGTTTCACAGACATTTCAAGTTAATGTGGAATTTTTTTTGCTTATATACACTTAATAAGAAACAAATCCAAAAGAGTCAAAGTCTTGTCTTTCACTAAGTACTCTTGTTAATACTAACAGAAATATACAATGAGATGAGTTATGGCTGGCATTTCAAACTTAAGTGTCATGTATAATACTTTATTTTCATTTTCTTCTTCTGCTTAACAAACAAAAAGGAAATTGTCCTTGGTATAAAAAACAATATACCCAGATATCAAGAGGTACTATAGTTTTTAATCAATGTGGAACCTAAAGAGAGTTTTATGTTGGTGGGAACTCTCTTAGGGCTGGCCTTCACTACCGCAATAAATCAATCTAACGTATGCAACTTCAGTTACGTGAATAACATAACTGAAGTCGACGTAGTTAGATCCACTTACCATGGTGGCTACACTGCACTGTGTCGACAGGAGAGCATCTCCTGTTGTCTTCCCTTATGCTTCTCGTGGAGGTGGAGTACATAAATCAATGGAAGAGTGCTCTCCCATCAATTTAGCATGTCTTCACCAGACCCACTAAATCGACTTTCACTGCAATCAGTGCCGATCTACCAGTAAGTGTAGACATGCCCTTAGAGAACATATTCTTCAGCTATTTATGTTTTCTATCTTATTGTTCCAGTAGTGGATTGCACTATATTATTGGTGATGTATTTATGCAGATAGAATGTTTATCAGCCTTTTCTTTTACTGCAGTATCTTCCCCTTGGGCCAGAACAGTTAGCTATAGATTGCAAACTCTTCAGAGCAGGGACGGTGTCTTCCTATGTAAGTGGACAGCACTTAGCTGACAGCACTACCCCATGAAGGAATAATATTTCAGACATATGACTGTTGCTAATCCATTTGAATTAGAAATACTCAAAATTATGTTCCTCCCTGCTGAGACTCCATTCATTCATGCTTCACTTCCAGGTTTGTCATTTGAGATTTGCAAGTACATCTTTATCCTCAACACTGGGTGAAAGATCAGTGGAGGCAATCATTGAAGTGAATTTATCTCTCTTCCAAAATTAAATTTGGTCAGGCCATCAGCTTGTGAAATTTACTTGTAATAAGTTGTGTTCTTCTCTAGTGACTAATCCACATAGAGGCTAACAACCTACTATGCCTGAAAGCCAATAGGGTTACTTCTTTTAACTTAAATGGCAGAGGTCTGTGCTTTGGGGCTGATGATCTGTGGTATGTTATGCTCATTTTGTGACTTGTGAGTTAGAATCTGATCTTTAAACACAGTAAAAAGTTTAATTTTTTTTGAAGGGTAAAATTAAAAATGGGTGCTTGCGTGTATTTGAAGAACTACTGAGTTCAAAGCTGTTCTTCCATTTAATTTCCTCAGATAGTCACTTTTTTTAATTTGAAACTTAATTTGACTCTGCTTTCAGGCATTAATGATTCTGTCAAATTGAGTATTATGGCACCAATCCAGGAAATACTTAAGCATAAGCTTAACTTTAAGCACATGAGTGATCCTGTTGATACCAGTGCTGAATTATCCTAAATGCTGGAGGAAATGAAAAGTACTCCGCTTTATACAATTGTTTTAAAAAGATAGTGAGGGCCTTCACACCACAAAATTTTTTACTGTCATGGTCTTACCCCTCTAAAGAAGTAGGAACTAACTTATTCTAAAACAACAGAACCAGTATAGCATATGAGATGGCCTTGCACAGAAAGAGTTTCTGCACCCCACCTCCCCTGCTCTATTTGCAAGCAGTGCAGTAAAGTACATTATACAGGATCTCTTTTCAGTTTCATTTTGCTACCTTTGACAGCAACAGATCCTGAATGAGAAATTTCCTGAACACCTGTCTGTATAGCTGTTTGAGAAATATATGATTCAACTCACCCCATTTAGCTTGCACGTATTTTAAAGCAACAGACAGATATTTCAGTTTTACTTTATCGCTCTCCGTTTTTAAATTTCTGACTTCATCTTCTGATTGTGACAATGCGTTATTCCACAATGAAGCTAGGTAAAGAGATCTTAGAAGCTGGTGTTTCCATTGAATCATAGAACATTGTAGGGATGGGGAGGCTAGTACACATTTGAGATGCTTGGTCTTTTCCAGTTTGATTTTAGTAGTTCATCTTCAGCTAACCAGAACATTTTGGACTAGACAAGAAACCTAAATCAATCTTTTTAGGCTCCCTCACTTGCAGTGAAAAAATACAATCCTCTCTCTGTTATGTTTCCTTTATGTGCTGATGTTAGAACAGGGACTGTCAGTTTCATGTCAATTTTGATTTACCACTAATGTTCTGTATTTCACAGAGGAAATGAAAAATACCCAAGGTACCAAGTATCCCCTTCCTTCAGATGATGAATGGAAAGTGTCAGTGCTGACAGGAAATGGAGGAACTCAAGCAAATGTCACACTCTGGATATATGGAGACAAAGGAGTAGCTGGACCAATAACTCTTGGCAAGGACAACAGGGAGCAACTCTTTCTTCCCAGGCAGGAGGATGAATTTCAGGTAGCTAATGAAGGCTGGGAACATTATTTTACTGAATACCTTTCCAAAGATAATTCTCTCGTGATAGGGAAAATGTTTTGCATAAATAAATCTATATCTAATGTCTCTGAATTCTGCATTAAATCAGCTAAATATATATAGTATGTGGCAGAGGAAATACTCTTTTCTCTCAAGCAGGGAAAACTGCAGAAGTAAATTGCTTTCTTTAAGGCAATTAGTTTAGGCAGTTGGTTTGAAACTAGTCTTAGAAACCATCTACCTCTGCACAAATCATATCCACTGAAAGATGTGTATCATTTACAGGATCTTTAGAAATGAAATGCATTCTTGAATACACTGTTGTAATCATGGCTCAGAAATGAGTATGGCATGGTTGGCTCTGCTAAGAGTCATAACCTCGCTGTTTTCCAGCTAACTAATGCCCTAATAAAAGACTGAAATGTAAAAGGTTTATACATGGTATTAATAGATTGCAATAACATGCATGTTACATTGTCAGGATTTGATCCTGTTTATATCCTGCAATGAAAACAAAAGGAGTTTTGCCGTTGACTTTATTAATATAATTAGGATCCAGTTTGTAAAGGAGCTTACCTCCAGGTAGAATGGAAGGAAGAAATTGCTATTAACAAAGGGCTAAAGCTTCTCTTGGCTCTCACACAAAGCTTTTATAGGAGGGACATATCCTCTTTTGTTGTCTTCCAGCTGGAAGCCATGTGTAAATGAATTAACCAGAAATGATACTTCCCATCATGTACTAGAACTTGCTCTGTGTGCTTTTTCTATACTATTGTAGTTGTGACTCACACCAAGATCCTTATTGTCCATAATAATAATTAATAAGTACTTTGTACTAATATGGCTTAAGCATCGAGGCTATTAGCTGTGATGTTAGTTTTGGAAATATGTACAGTATATATTTCACAGAGCTACGACCCACTGGGAACTCCTTTCTCCTCACTAGTGAATAATTTATAACCAGTTTTGGGTAATAGCATGTCTGCAATATTAACTTCTCTCCCTGTCCATAGATTCCCTAAGATATGGACCAGTTGTCCTGCTATAAAATAGATATCCATTATAGCTGTGTCCTATGGATATTGATCTTGAAGAAAGAAGAATCTCTCCATCAGCACCATGGGCCGCTACACTCCACACACTGACGCTCTGGCTTTCAGGCCTGACATAAATATCAATTAAAACATTTCCCCTCATTAGCCTGCAGTAGACAAATCCATCAAAAGCTAGCTAATGAGTAAGAACTCTTTCAAAGTGACATTGTTTTGTACCTGTGGATCAGTGTGAGTATAGCAGTCGACTGAAATGGGGCCAGGAATGCAAGATTGGTTTTATTACTGATTCTCTTTACTGCTTGTGTGCTTGAGCCTGATGTGTTTTCACTCGCACTTTGCTAAAGCAGGAGACTTCACTTTTTCATTTTTAAAATGATAGACTTCCTCAGAGGTCTAGCCAGGAGTTCTAGGAAGAAAACTGCCTCAGACAGCATTACGGTAACCCAGGGCAATTTGAATCTCTTTCCTAAAGCTTCCCTATTGCCAAACTCATGCAGACAGCTATCAGAAAGTGGAAATACCCTTGCCTCTAGAAATAAAAGGAATCACATCCCTTACTCATGTAAGTAGACATTACCTGTTGAATCCCTTTTGAGGCTGCTCACATGAGAAAAGATTGCTTGGGCATATTATACCTAGTATACTAATGGACACACTTGGCTATACCCTTCTCTAATTATACCAAAGGGAATCCTTCTTTTGGCCAGACAAACAGGTGCTAAGTTTGTTCTAGGCGGACATCACTCCTTGCGTTTCCACAAAGCCAATACATTGCCTATTGACACTGACACAAAAGAGGGCAGGCAGACCGGCCAGCTGAACCATTAACCAAATGGAATGGATAAGAATAATCAGAATAGGCATAAAACATGACAGTAATACATATTCAGAGTTTCTGAATGAAAGGATAATATATCAAGTTGCTCCATTTCATACAACGACCGTCTACTTTCCAAGTAGGTAAACTATAACACCGGTAGTTTATTGACTCAGAACCAGACAATGACACCCTGACTCTAATATCATCATATCATGATCCTATTGACTCATGGAGTAAGGTACTATACAACGTAGGTGAGGGTATCAGGATCTGAGCCCAGAGAAGTAAATTACTGCTGAATCAAATGGAGAACCATTGGCGAGGATAATAACATCATCATCTTCCAAGTGTGGTGATAGATTTTGTTTTGTTAATACAATTAAAGTTTCCCTATCTTCCCACTGAGCTCAGTAAATAACTTGGAATCCTCCAACTCTCTCATCTATACCCTATGAGCTGCTCAACCTGTGGGAACATCAATGAAAACAGGAATTTGGGTTAACATTATGCTCTTAGCTCTTGTCTCAGACCTTCCCAGAGGTATTGAACACCGAGTGACAAG